TCTCTGGTTTTAAAATTGACGGTATTTTTTTGTAAGCATTTTTCCATATTGTGGCAATATATTTTGTTCTTAATAAATGCTGCGTCAATTCAGCCTGGCTGGGCGGTAAAGTCGAAGCATCAAAATTCTGTAATTTTTTTTCTGGAATGGTTCGTCTAAGTCGTTTACTTTATAAGTTTTTAAAAATAATGCGAATCGGGCACTATTTACAGAATTCATAGACTTAAAACTATATAAATTGCAAACAAATTTCTCGAGCACCTAAATACGCTATTTTCGTCACAGTCTTCAGAGCCTATTTGATTAAAAGCTTGTTGAAACTCTTCGTTCTTTCTGAGTATCTGTAAAGGGCGTTGCTTTCCCTTCCTGAATAATGCAGGATTAAAATCGCAGCCAGTTAAGGCATGAAATACTGGCAATGATTGACAGAATAAATCACCTAACGTTTCATACAACGCTGAAACGTCAATGATTCTCTGTTTATTCCAAACTCCTGTTTGTATATAAACTTTGCTACCTTGTCGAACATTAATGATATTAGCTAACATTATAATTAAAATGTCTGTATCGGAGGATTTTATTACAATATTTGCTGTTGATTCAATATTGCACGCGTGGTATACAATTTTTTTATCTGCTTCTTCATGCAAATCGAGCGTAAAATTATCATTAATTGAAAATAAAATGCTCTCTTTTTGAATTTCATATTGATAGCATTTATCAAAATTAAGTAGCACTTTTTTATTTCCTAAAAACGGAATCATTTCTTGCTGTTTCCAGTGATTTAATAAAAAATTCACTAATGCTTCTTTAAAATAACTATTTCTCAGCTCTTTATTGAAATCGGCTGGTCTTGCTTGCTCTGGCCCAGAAATTGCGTACATGCAATTACCAGAGAAACCTCCTCGCTGTGACCTTTCATAGTCTTTGATAGAAGGTGACCAATATCTATCAAAAATTATGTGTATTTCTTGGGCTTTGTCGTTAGTCACCATTTGCAGTATTTTTTTCGAAACACTGCCAAATGTCTTTGGAAAGTCCTTAATACAATGGATAAAAAAAAATCCATCTATTAAACAAATATCGGTATAAATCGTAGCCTTACTTTGAACATCTCTTTCCAAACATTTGAATAGAGCAGATTTATCTGTTTTATAAATAGATCCATTCAAGTGACACATAGACATTGGAACGGGTGTTAGAGGGTATGATAGAATTTTTTCAACATAAGTGTTTTCACTCATCGATATAGCTAGCATACGTCCGAATAAGTCACGCTGCAATCGTACCTCTTGAACTTTATTATTCACCCTCACTAATCTCTTCTCAGTTGCAGCAGCAAAATTGAGTATTTTATTTTGCTTTATTGTCATTGTCAACATATGTGTTAGGTGGTTAGGTACATAGAGTTTTAAGTGTAGCAGATGTAGACGAAAAATTAGTATTCAGTCCTTTTCTTTATATCTTATTTTTTGGAAAGGAAAACTCTATTCAAAGATTAGAAAGGCCATAAAACCATAAACAAACCTTAGGATTATCGGGATATATTGGTGCAATAAAAACCCTTTGTGCAGTGTCGGTATCCTTTGAAGAACTTCGGATTCCTATGTAAACATATGCGATATACCATAAAAATAGATAGCATTCCATTTTTATTGCTTGAATTTGGAAAATTGTTGTTTTTTCAACTATTCCACCCAGAGATCATACCGGTGACCTTTATTATATATGGTAATAGAATTATAATAAATAAATCCTACAATTATCTTACTCTTGAAATTGTGCATTCGTCTCATTCTCTCGAAACTTAGATTTTTGAAAGTTTCACTTCTAACACGTGTGATCTGCAAACATCTTTTTTATTTTATAATAAGTGCCCATTTTCACTTTAAAAATTTTGTGACCCATTTTTCGGCTTTCAATTTTACAAGCCGAAGAAGCCGAATATTATCGAATGTTTATTTATTGTTTAAATAAAACTTGATTTATACAACAATTAAAAGATAGATTAATCTATCAGTAAAATACCTTGTAGAAAGATTTTTTAGAAACCTTTTTGAAAGGTTTAAAGCTTTTCAAGAAATGTTTTAGAAAGTTTTTAGAAAGTTTTTATGTTATGTGGGCTATTATAGCGTCTGCCAAGGCTATAGCCCCAAAATTTTTGCCTGCCATTTAGTAACTTGTTTTCTTAATCTTTAAATAATAAAATGAAAAAGTTTTTGTTCATGACCTTGTGATTTTTTTTAAAGTAATTTTTACACCCCTTTGGCGCGCTCTGCCGGCACTTTAACCCCGAGCAAACTGTCTGCCAATATTTTTTCGCGATTCCTTAATATAAATACAAGCATTTTCCATAATTAGAATCCTTGAAGCTTATCATTTTTTTCACACCTAAATTTCACGTTTTTAATTGTACTCCCCCGCTTTAGGCCCCAGTTTTGCGATGGCAGACTTGCAGATTTATGTTCAGCTATACCAAAGGTACCTTTTTCAATAGAAATAAATCTTAAAGCGGATAAATGCATTTTTATGTAGCCAGCTCTTAGACCATTACGATGACAAGGTAAACTTAAAATTGCTAATCTTAAGTAATACTTTGAATGTTTGTATGCTTAATCGCTTAAAATACTCTTAAAAGTTTAAATAATTTATTAAGTAAAAAAAAATGAAATTTTGAAAATTTTAGGGTAACGTAATCCCTTAAGAAGTTTCACTTTAGTCACGTGTCAAATCCACGAGCTTTTTTTTGTTATAATATATATATGCATATTACATATATACAATATTATGTAATATGTAAATATGTAGTATGTAGTATACATATTTGACACTTACGTCATCTTCAACTGTTTCGTCAAACTAAAAAGAAGAATATTTTCAATTGATTGAAAGATCAAACGTTGAAACAAAGAATTAATAGAAATGAATTATTATAGGTACTTTGTGGTTGCCATCCGTCCTGGGTATCGGTGAGCGGCGGTAACATTCCAGCTAATGCGATTCCTGCTGGAGAAACGGAAGATGGCGAACCTTTGTTCGTTGGTCGTGTACATCACGAAGGCACTTTAACTATCGGCAAGGTGCAAGCATCTCACGGTGTTTGTTACATACCTTTCGGAGGCGCCGAGGTCGGCTTCCCTGATTATGAGATCATGATTTCTCAATAATCATTATTTCATACAGTCTAAAAGCTCTAATCTATGTGCTCGATCTATCGACAAGTTTTCTCGATCATATTTTCTTTATCTTACTTTCTTATTCCTATGTGTGTTATATTTACTACATACTACTATATGGTCACTAAATAATTACAAAACAATATTCTTTAACATGTTCATTTTTCTTCTTTTTCTGTAAACAAACAAATTTATTGGAGGAAAAATAATCTCAATACATTGTAAGTCATTCGTCATATAAATTTCAAATGTTTAATATAAGTTTGAATGTTTTTATTTCAAAGAGCAGCATTTATTTGGTCAATGAACAAAATAAAAGTAAACGATATAAATTATATAAATGATAGAGCTTTCGCATTCAAATTAAAGCATCAACGTAAACATTATAGAAGGAGCAAATCAATGGCGATATGCTTATAACTAACTATAAGCTATATATTTTAATATAACCACGTTGTTGTTAATCTTCATCGGAGGATTTGCTAATAAACTATTGTCTTCTTAACAAAAATTAAGATATAAATTAAGGATTATTTTTGTTTATTGCCGGCAATATAATTTTCTAATGCACGCATATGGTGCATTTCTAATGTACGATGAAATAAATATTTTCAGATGTTGTATCGTTATACAATAAAATGCATAAAATATAAATGAATTGTTTGTCATATACCTTTGGATACTTTTTACCGAACGAATATTTGCCTGCAAGTACAAATAAAGATTTTTCTATATATACGTACAGTATAATTCATAGTTTTTATATGTGTATGTATCAAAATGTCAATAAGTGGATAGCTGCTTGAAAGCGTTTGTGCATAGGTGTTCCATAGTCGAACAAATGTTAACACTAGATTTATGAATGTTTTGTTCTCTATTTTTTTAAAACTCACAAACATTACTTGAATGAAGAAGAAGGTAGAAAAAAGGAAAATTAATATTATATTATTATAATAATTTATAATATTAATTATTATATATTATTGTATAATATATAATTAATATTATAATAATACGGCATTAAAAATCAACATTTATTTCTGAAGAATAATATTTAGCTAAAAAAAAAATTATATTACAAAAAATCTGAAAATCCGGCGAAGAAAATCTTTGTTAACCTAGTCAAAACTTTTTTTTCTGTGCGTACGATAATTTTACTGAAAACCCGATAATTTTACGGCACTGTGTCGATCAGACAAGCAAAAGCTTCTTGGATCACTGTTGCTAATGTCAAGTTTATAACGTCATAATTTTCATTGATAATTGTTGACAATACTGCATCATTAACAATTGCATTAATGTTCTTTTTATTTATTAAAAGGAATATTTATTTAAAAATGGTAAATAAATGTATTATTCATGGGTGTACAAGAGGACGAGTCAAGGATCATAATAAGAATGCTAAATTAAATCAGAGAAGTACGTCTTTATTCACTGTACTACAGATAATTATTAAATTAATAACTGTTAATTGATAACCCTAATTGATAAATAACTGTTAATTGATAAACCTTAATTGATAACTGTTAATTACTAATATAAAAAAATGCAATGATGCAAATGGTAAAAAGTCTAGTCTTGTAAAAAGTGCAATTTACAATAATAAATTACAATTTACTTTTAATTGAACTTTTTAAATTTAGTTTTCCATCCTTTACTCAACTGTATGGAGGGTGGAGGTAAGGAGTAACATCTCTTATGGGAGAAAATCTGTGCTGTCAGACTGTGCTGCTAGATCGTGGGTAAATCTTACCCTCTCCCTGTGCCACTGGGATACACGGACATGGATAACTTTCATTGTGTGCAATCCCAGTGGCACAGGGAGAGGGTAAGATTTACCCACGATATGGCAGCACAGGAGAAAATGTGAAAGTGTCCAGCGTTTTCTATAAATAATAGTTCAAAAACCTTTCAGAATGGCGCTGGTGAACGTAGTAGGTAGAGCACTATAGATATGAGTACTCTCATCCGCCATTTTCAGTCCTACATAGAAGACACGAGTTGGTTTTGTATAGTAAACACGTTTGTTGACATCAAGCGAGATTGAATTATTTATTGATAATTGTATTAAATTTCATTAACAAAATTATTTGATAGTTGATGTTAGTACTTAACCTTTCTATTTTTAACATTAAAAGATAGATTAAACTACAAAATACTATTCAGTGATTGATTTATAAACATAGATAACCTCTCTATTTGGAACGTTTCAGTAATAATTTGGTAAGTAATGTTTTAATATTACTCTGAAAAATAGATAATCTGTTTAAATTATAAAAATACTGGATTTGTTTAGTAATATATATTAAATATATTGAATAACATATTACAAATAAAAGCTCAATAACTCTTATTTTTATTTTAAAACAGATGAAAAGTATGCCAGTAAAAAAAGAAGACAACAACAAAARATCAGTCGCTGCTAAAAGCAAAATGGTATTATATTCTTATTTTGAAACATTAATTATTTATGTTTATGTTATATAAATATGTAAATTAATTGTAAATTTAAAGATAATAATTGTATCTTTTTTAGRAGTATGAAAGTGAAATAAAATCTGTTGACGAAGAGACCATTATGTCTTTGCTTGCTGAAAATTTATCTATATGAAAATCTATGAGGGCTCAAATAGAGAGAATGAATGCAATTTTAAAAGAATATAAATCGTATTCAGCAGCTTCAGAATATTTAAGCAAATACAATGTTTCATAATCATGAACTTAATTAAACATGGTAAAAATTGTATATATTTRAAAAAAAAAAAGTAATGAACTKCACATAGCATAAGTGAGTAGTTAGAATTGTACATTTRAAATAAAATAAATTTGTATCATTTATATGAATATATCTATATTAATTTATTCATTTGTTCCGTTGTAAAMATATTATAAAATTATAAATAATAAAATTAACATCATTATTAACAATGCACAATATATGTGCAGCAAATGCATAAATTAAATGTTTAAAATTCTTCATTTCATAGTCGCAGATTCATATACTTAGGTATGACGTTTGCAGTTCTCATAATAATTTTTCGAGCAATACTAACGAACATTGAAAAAATGTTTAATTATTTTGTTTAACACAGCAACAATTTGGAAAATTAATGTTGATTTTCTCAAATAATACTTTTAGTATATCAAATGTATTTTTCAATATGTTTTCAGACAGAAATCTCTAGTTGTCTACGACTATTACACGATTTCAATAAAATTTCTTCTTCATTCATTCACAAATAATTAAAAAAATTGCAAAAAATAACGATAAAACCTACAGACTAACACTCACTACATACGTTTTTTTAAAACTTCCGCTCACTCGAGGAGCAAAAATGGCGGATGAGAGTACTCATCTCTATAGTGCTCTATCGTACCGCTACATTTTTGTAGCGGTACGACCGAAGGTCGCGCCCTCTAAAGTTACTAGAGGGCTAGGGAACCACGCTAACAAGTAGTGGTCACTAGACCAGTGCTGCCATATCGTGGGTAAATCTTACCCTCTCCCTGTGCCACTGGGATTGCCCACAATGAAAGTTTTCCATGTCCGTGTGTTTGGGATGTCGAGGAAAGCCGAGTGTAACCGAAGTTGGCGGGCACGCCGGAGTGACACACTATGAAAGCGACTCGTGTCGTCCGAACACATGGACACGAGTCGCTTTCATAGTTTGCCACTTCGTGGCCAACCGCCAACTTCGGTTACACTCGGCTTTCCTCGACATCCCAAACACACGGACATGGAAAACTTTCATTGTGTGCAATCCCAGTGGCACAGGGAGAGGGTAAGATTTACCCACGATCTGACAGCACTGAAACAGTCTGTGCGTAGCCGTTGAGAAGTGTACAAGAAAGAAAAGCAAGTCGCATCCTAACAATAAAAATCATAAAATAAAATTCAGTGTAATATTATCTTTACTATAGAGAAATCCTCTACATTTTCTCATACAGTGGCACCACCTATTAGTAACTAGAAGTAGTTACTAGTCTTTACGAGCGGTCTCTTTCGCTTTGTCACACTCACTCTTGACTAAAATAAATAAATAGATTTTTCTAGAGTACCATACAGAATGGCTGTTTTTACATCCAATTGATTTGCGTCTAAGTCTAATTTATTTATGATTGCTAGTGCTAATCTAATCACTGGAAGTCTAGAGACTGGGGCATACGTTTCGTTCAACTCATACTCGTTCCTGTCTAGGAACCTTCTTACGACCACTCTAGCTTTATAGATGGTTCCTCCAGTTTTGCCAATTTTGGTTTTAAAAACCCATCTAGAGTTCACTACATTAGCATCGACAGGTCTGTTTACCAGTTCGTAGACTTTATTATCTTCTATTGATTTTAGTTTTTCTTTAACTGCATTTACCCAATCAACACTGTCTTCCCGCAGTAAACACTCTTTATAATTACTGGGGTCCTTGTTGATAGAAGCGAGCATAGCCTGTATAAATTCTTCTTCCTCTACAATTTGAGTTTCTCCACTGATCTGGCATACACGAAATTTTCATCTATTTTGGGCTTTGGTTTTCCCTAGCTGAACTAATTTATTAATTGGGTCTTTCGCAGCAGGGTTGGTTCTCTCAAGATTCAGAGTCGATTCTCTGATTTACTGAATTGTCGTCTGCTTCTACGACAATCTGTTTTTCAATGGTTGGAGAATCCTTACCTTCTAGGTCTTTCGTTTTGAAAATATCTTTGCAAACTAGTTTTTCTTTAAATCTGACATGCCTTGAACTTAAGAATTTACCTGAGGTTGGCTCCCACAATACATATCCAGTACGTGAGTAGTCTACCAGTATGGCTTTTATTGCACTTTCCAAAACTTATTTTCTGATATTGGAAGTTTAACATAAGCTAAACATCCAAACCTCCTAATTTTATCCATATGGGTGCTAATCTTTGCATTAATTTTATTTAATGGTGATACAAACCCATTGGTTTTGTGAGGAGTACAATTGTACATATTAACGGTTTTTTCAGTTGCCAATATCCACATCGATTTAGGTGGACTAGAGTCAAACAATACCGCTCTAATTTTCTATTGTATTGTTTTGTTGAATCTTTCTGCTGTACCATTTACCTCTGGAGTATAAGGTGGTGCATGATCTGATTCTATCTTTTCTTTACGCATAACTTCCAGAAAAACTCCTCCCGGTAACTCCCTAGTATTATCCGTTCTTATGTAGCACACCTTTTCATTTTTACCCAATAGATTTCTAGTTGTTGTTATGAAGCTTTCTAAACAGTTAGCTGCTTCATTTTTTATTTTGATAGCATAAATTTTTGCAAATCTCGAGAAATCATCTACAAATACCATAATGTATTTGTAAGCACTTGGGAACGAATTTATTTTCAACTGTCCCAATGTGTCCACATGAATTGTATGCAACCGTCTATCTGCTATCAATCTGGATTCTTTAAAGGGTAGTTTTTTTCCTCTTAGCTAGAATACAAATTTCACAATCTAAAATATTTTCTTTAAAGGGTACGTTATTCAATGACTGATCAGGTTTTTTAAGTTCTTGATAATTCAAACTTGGATGACTTAATCTTATGTGCCATAACATGCCTTCATCTATTTTTGTTATTTTCATTTGTTGTATATTATTTTCAGCACTTTTAATGTTATAAAATTCTTCTAGAGTATCAGCTGAAATAAAGTCTAAAATTTTTCTATTAAAAATTTGTTCATCTAGCATAAAATCTGTGACTTCAGCTTCCAAATTACTTCTATCTTTCTCCAAAAGGGTTTTCCTTCTGACTCTCCCTCCCAATCTCAGATGGTGTTGATTTATGAGATAGAACCTGTAAATCTCCCTCCATTTTTTGCAACTTTAAATCACCAGGTACCGTCTGAGATTGTTTGGAAAAATCATTTGGAGAAATAATTTCAGCAGTACAAGAATACGTTTTGTAATCTGGCCTATTATTTTCTTTTGCAAATTTCACCTCCAAGTGACATGCCAGTTAAGTTTAATATACTTTCCCAAACATGTTTCACCTGTTTCTTTGTCAAATATTTCTAATTTGTGTCTGCAAAACGTCTAAGAAAAATTAAATTATTTGCTATATTTTTTGCAGATAATACGTTTGTTAATTTTATTTATTAAGTTTTGATTTTAAGTAAAGGTCGCCGATTCCATCTATTTCAATGTCAGCTAATTTGTTTCTATTGCACTTTTAATTACCTTGCCTGTGCAATGTTTAAAGTTACATAAAAACAAACTCTTGTTAATTATGTGCTCAGTAGCACCTGAATCTGCAATAAACGAAATATTATTTACATTATTTGTACATTCAACATTCCCACCTGCTTGACATGCTTGTGGCCTCAGTTTATTTCCATCCTTTGGTGGAGCTACTTGCTTTTTGGACGGCTCCTGCTTGGTTTTGGTATATCCTCTGGATTTACCACTAAATTCTCCTCTGAAAGTCGAACTGTTCCTAAAAGCACCTCTACCTCTAGCTCGACCATGACCACTACAACGTCTGTAGTCAGATCTTCCTGAATATTGACTGGCTGCCATATTTTTGGACAACTCGAACACTTGGCATTCGTGGCCGCTCAATAGCAAGGAAATTTTCCGATGTTTTTTGAATGTGACTCATTAAAATTTTCATTGACTCAAAACTTTTGTTTTGAAGCTCAATGTTTTCTCTCTGTTTATGCAGAACTTGTTATAGTTTTTGATTAACCTGTGAAATCTGTTGCTGCTGTTGTGTTTTGTTCAGTGATTGAAATACCACCACTGCTGCTACTCGATTGAGTTACTGTGGTAATCATTTGATTTGCTATAGTGTTTGACAGAGTTATTTGTGTACTCGTCTGTACTGCAGTAATATTTGATTGCCTCATAACTGAAAGTGTACCTGTGACATTGTTGGGCTGACAGATACTCCAGGCCCTATATCAATAGAATTATTTTGGTTAAGATTTTTATTTTACGGTTAATTGAATAAACGTAACTTCTAATAAAAAACTTTTGATCATCTATAAGATTTTCTAAGGTCTCATCAAGTTTTACGATTAACTAAATAACCGTAACCTTTAATAAGATACTTTTCATCTTTAAAAGTTCCTATATTTTTTCCTAGTTTTACAATTCTATAACTAATCGTAACTTCTAGTAAGAAGCTTTCCATCTTTGAAAGTTCCTAAAAATTTTTTTTGTTTTACGATTCTTAACTAATCGTAACTTTTGGTAAGAAGCTTTTCATCTTTAAAAGTTCCTAAATTTTTTTTTTCATTTTTACGATTCTTAACTAATCGTAACTTCTGGTAAGAAACTTTCCATCTTTAAAAGTTCCTAAATTTTTTGTTTTACGATTCTTAACTAATCGTAACTTCTGGTAAGAAACTTTCCATCTTTAAAAGTTCCTAACCTTACTTTTAATTTTACGATTCTTAACTAATCGTAACTTCTAGTAGGAAACTTTCCATCTTTGAAAGTTCCTAACCTCACTTTTAATTTTACGATTCTTAACTAATCGTAACATCTAAAATAATGTGAGAAATATTACCTGTTTCTATAATATTGTCTGACGCGTCAGGTGGATTATCCACAGTCTCTGTATATTCGAGCCTACGTTTAACGTTCTGCTCATTCATTTTTTCTTCGCTCACGTTTTAACGTATAAGCCTTGTGAAACAAACAAAACTTATCAGAGACTAATATATTTCACTTTCATTTACAACCGCACTGCAAGTAGTAAATGAGAAAAGATTAGTTGCAACTCCCGCATGCAACAGCAT